GTCCTGGTGTCATCTCCTGCCCCTTAGTGTGGGTAGGGTATGTGACTGGCTGCTATCCAGAGTACAGCAAAGGTGGAGAGATGGCATTCCTGTGATTAAGCAATGTAAGCAGGACCGTCTTGCTCTGCAGCCAGCCTTAAAGAAGCCAACACCTGTGCTATGAGCTGCCCATGAGAGGCCCACTTACTGAGAACTGTGGGTGGGCTGGAGATGCTGAGAGCCTCAATCTCGCAGCCACAAGGGACTCAGTTCTGCTCACAGTCTGAGTAGGACAAGCGCACTTCCCCAGTCAAACCTCCAGATGAGAACACAGCCGGGCCACCCCCCTGATTGCAGTTCAGTGAGATCCTAAAGCAGAGGATCCATCGAAGCTGTGCCCAGACTCCTTACCTACAGAGGCTGAGGGATGAATGATGTGTTGTTTGAAGCTGCTCAGTTTGTGGTAATTTGTTATGTACGATAGAATATGAATCCAGCTGACTCTAATGAGTTGTGATCTCAACCTTTGGCATGTTCGATGGTACAATGTAGATGGCTCAAGGCTGGGTAGAAGGAAGTATCTGTGCCTGATATCACTGCTCCGCATCCCCCCAGACACACTGGGTGTGCGCCCTGCCTTCCAGAGTGGGACTGGGCTGCTGTGTCAGCTGGCTGGGGTCGCTCTGCCTGTGGGAGGAAGTTATCTGAGTGAGTTGCTGCCCAAGTCAGGTGACCTGGCTCTTGTCGCTTGTAATGCTCAGGTAGGCTGGCATGGGATACAAAGGGGCAGCTGTCTGCCAGCAGCTGGAGCTCACACCTGCATTCACATGTGCTCAGGAACACGTTCGCCCTGCTGGGCTCAGGCTCACCAAGGATGCTTGTTTATTAATATCTTTTTGGGAACAGGGCTTTTGTGCTGCCTGAGATGTTTGTGACTCAGATGAAAACCCTGGACTCCTTTCTCATGGTCCCTCTCTCTGACCTCACTCCCGTGGAAAGACCTGCACCATCGAAGCAAGGTTTTCAAGTACCGGGATGCTTGATAAATGGCTCTTAAAACTGAGCTCGGGTGCCCACCAAAAAGTACAAGCAGTGAAATTAATGGGGTCACTACCGAGTGAGCTTAATGGCTCACTTGCCTCATTTCCAGCAATTTCTTGGAGTTACAGGAATGCAGTCGGAGGGTAATCAGGTGGTTTCATGGAAGAGCCCTCTTTCCAGCCCTATCTCCACCACTTGTTCCCACCGCATGACCTCGTAGAATACCCTTTTGCATTCCGAGTCTCATTTTTCTTATCTGTACAATAAAAGATTTGAACTTTCGGCAACATTCTCAGAAACTAAAATTCTCACTGAGGCACATGGGGGATGATGTTTGTAGAACTTCATGAACTTGTAAGGACACTGCTATGGATTGTCATTGGCTACGCTATCCAGCCATGTGTCTGTCACTGCTAATGTCTGAATCTAAAAAAATGTCTCAAGTACTGAAGACACCTTGGAAAGTTAATTAATTCAGCTCATACTTATGCTCACAGCAGCAACTGGAATTGTTTTTACTTTTGTTTGATGTCAAGATTGCTCATTTTATCCAAGCAATGGTGCCTGTTACTTAGGTCAGACCTGCTCCTGTTTCCCATGGCAGGGGCAAATAGATACACTCACAGAGATTTCCCAGGATTCTTGGCTTTCTCTGCCTACTGTGTAGATCTCCATCCTGGCATACTGTATTAGAGTCAGAAATTTCAAGGACAGTTTGAAGACAGGGGCCATAACGCTCTCTGTCCTTCTAATTTCTTTCACTCAGCAGAGCTAAAGAGGGGAGGACAGAAGAGGCGAACTCTGTTTCATCACCCCATCTACTTCAGTGACAGCAGTTCTGCTCCGCCCCAAGCTTGCATGTCCCACTCAGCAAAACCAAAGCTGTGTGACTAACCACACTTACCCTCTTTAGAGGCAGTTTATGGCCCATCAGCTCTTACTCAAAAATGTCTCTTAAAGGAGGTCTCACCTTCAGTCCAAATAGTTTATCAAAGCATTCCTGCCAAGACCACATAATATTCTTCATGGAAAGAGTTACGGTAAATACAACAGGGACACACTTTTACAATCATTAAAGATTGGTGTCCTAGTCTTCTCATCTGTCAAGTGGAGATAAATAATAATAAAGTGTTGATTAAAGATTAAATGAGACAGTTGGAGGTTTAAGCTGGACAATCAAGGAATAATTTTCTAAGGATATATATAGGTGACTTCACTGTATACTGACTTAAAAAAAAGCTTCTTGTCGCCCTGGCCAGTGTGGCTCGGTAGTTAGAGCATTAGCTTATGCACTGAAGGGTCATGGGTTTGATTCCCAGTCAAGGGCATGTACCTGGGTTTCAGGTTTGATCCCAGGCCTGGTCAGGGTGTATTTGGGACACTAATCAATGTGTCTCTTTCGCATCAATGTTTCTCTCTCTCTCTTCCCCACTCCCTTTTACTTTCTAAAAAAAAAAAAAAAAAAATTAATGGAAAAAATATCCTTTATTTTTGATGATTAACAACAACAACAACAAATGCTTCTTGTCCTGGCTGACTAAGCACAGCCTCCTATTGAGTATTTCACACCCAGCCTTATTCCTATAAAAAGCAACTTTATGATACTGGTCTGAGTTTTGGTCTTTATCTACATCAGCCAGAGATAGAGAATGTCAGGACCCCAGGGACTTCCAATCCACCCCTTTGGACACTGCTTGGACTGTAAGTAACAAAAACCCAACATGACCCAACTTAAACAATAAAGGGAATTTATTGGCTTATGGAACATGACTGTCCAGAGGTGGGGCCGATCACAGGCAAAGCTTGATCCTGTACTTAAGCAGTGCTAGCAAGGCCCTGGCTCCGTCCTGCCTCTTCACTCCCCTTCAGGATTGTCGACTCCAGGCTGAAGCGGTTTTCCTTCATGGTCCCAAGACAGCCACCATCAAGACTCAAGATTACCTCCTTCCTCCTTCACATCCAGCAGGAGGCATCAAAACAGCCTCTACCCAACATTCCCAGAAAAAGCCCTGACATTCCCTCCGGCTGCGTTGCCTTAGCTCACAGGACCCTGCCCGAGCCAGTCGCTGCGGCCAGAGAGCTGCAATGTGCGGTCGGCTTGGTTCGGGCCACGAGTTCACCACTGGAAGTGATGACTGAGCGAGCTCAGCCAGACCTAAAACCCCCAAACAGAAACCAGGGGCTGCTGGGAAAGGAAATGGGGGAATGGACACTGGGGGTGCAGCCAACAGCATCCACCGCACCCCTCATTTTATGGATGGAACACTGAGACCAGAGAGAGACCAGGCCTTCTCAAGATCATAGCAGGGGGGAGCCGGGACCACGCCCCAGCCCTTCAATCTGAGACCCTGTTTCACTTCTACTCTATTCTATTTACTCAGGCCAACTTGCCCACTACTGAGTGCCGATCAACGTGTATCCAGGCTAATCAATTTCTCCCTAAACCTGAACGAGCCAGGGGCATCATTTCAAACACCTCCAATGAGTTTCCAGGTGAAGGAGACAAACCTCTGCTCCAAGGATTCTCGCAGCCACAAAGATCAACCCCAGCACTTCCATCCCCCCCTTAACGACCCCTAAGTATCAAGTAGTTCCTGCTACTTTTAAGGGGGAAAGACGCATCCTGGTATGCAAACATTATTGCATATTCATGCACTCGACATCTAATTTTAGCTGCAAGAGACTGCATGACAAGATGCTCACACAATTCCGCAGCTTTCTTCCCAGGGTTTGGGAGCCCGTCTAGTCTTTTCTCCCATCTCCACGTCACTGGGATTATTAGAATGTGTTTTAGCTTCTTAGAATGAGATATTTTGGGTTTTCCAAATTGAACCACAACAGGAGATGAAATCTGTGAAAATCACACGTTTTAACACAGGTTTGTGTAGCTCCAGAGCCGTGCTGTTGACGTTGGAGTCTGCACTGTTCAAGGGTCCCTGATGCATTCACCACATTATGCAGATCTGCTTTTACTCCTTGGCTGGCTGGGACAGTAAACTCTTTATGAAGAAGCTGGGAGCCATAGACAAGACCTAACTTGGATACAAAAAGACTCTCCCAGAAGGACAGATGGACCCCCTCCTGTGCTCTGCTCTCCCGCAGAGGCAGCCCCGAGGCTACGGCTGCTGAGAACCAGCAGCAGCAGGCAGGGCCTTTGCACCTCCTTGCTCACCCAACATCCAGAAGCACCTGCCGAGAGTCAAGTGCCTTTCCATGGGCAGGGAGTCAATGCAACCTGGCTGTACCCTGACCCCGTCATTCTACTCATCTGCAGGCCTGGCTAAGGTACAAGCAAGCTACAAGGCCACTTGAATGGGTGACACTCCACCTTCGAGACTCTCAGTTTGCTCTGGGATGCAGGTGTCCCTGGCCCTCTTCCAAGGCAGTGTGGAAACTCCCGGTGGGTCTCAACAGCTCCTAGAACTTGGGAGACACAGCCTCATCAGAGGCCTTCACAGACTTCACCGTGGAGCCCACGCTGAGCTAATAAACATCTACAAAGCTGGTGTTTCCAGCTTTGGGTGGAGCCAGATGTGTTGGGAGGGTCTAGAACAGCCTCGGCATCAGTGTGGGTTGGGGGAACCTCAGGAGGAACTTGGAGGCCACCAGGAGCTCAGAGCCCACTCATTGGTAAAACTGCAGGTGGGGGAGGCTTCCCTCTGAGGAAGGGTGGCCCCCCTGGGCCCCCCAGCCTTGTCTGCCTTCACCAGGGGTGGCTCTTAGCTCCCACCATCGGTCAGGCAGCAGAGGGTCAGGCCGTCCCTATGCCCAGCTTTTCCAAACCCCTCGCCTCGTTCTCTCCTTGTGATGTATCTAGGCTCAGGCTGAGGGGACGTCCGGTGAAGGGACCAAGCTGGGGTTACTCCAGGTCTGGACAAGCTGCAGAGAGGTTCAGGGGCTGCCCAAGTTCAGCCCCTCCCCCCCCCCCCCCAGGATTCAGTGTGCAGCTAGGCTCTCCACAACCCTCCCTGCATCTCCCCACAACCCTCCCTGCATCTCTCAGCTGTCCTGGGCCATGCTCTCTGGTCCACTCCAACCTCTAGACCTGGACTCCTGGTCTCCGCAGCCTCCTTCCCGAGCCTAAGACATGTAGCACGGGTGACCCAGGAAGGTAATTAGCATCAACACCTCTGCCCCTACCATGCTGAACACTAAATGGTCAGAGTCCCTTTCGGTGTTTCCACCTCTGTCCTCACCCACCCACTCCCCTCCTGCTGCAGACATGGAGAGACAAACACACCCCACGCTCCATTCACCTGTTTTACAAAACACACCAGAGGTGTTCCAAGCCTCTGAGCCTTTGCACACACTGTTCTCTGTACCTTAATTATCCTTCCCCTCTGCTTTGCGGGGGTAATCCCTGCAGACCTCTCAAGGCCAGGTCTGTTGCTGCGGTGCACTCCCCGAGGAGCCAGCACAGGGCCGAGCACCGGAGTCTGCACGGCACACACGCTCCTGTGACTGGCTTTCTCACTCCATGGGTGACGACCCCACGCCTGGCCCCACTAGACTGAGCTGGGGGGGAGGATGCCTTCATACAGGTCTCCTCCTGGAGGCCAGCACTCAGCTGGTGGCAGCATCTCTGAGTGCCCTCCGCACTGGTCGAGGACGGATGAACAATGGGAAAGATGGCTGTGTAGCAGAGACAGTGTGGCAGAGGCCAGTGACAGGAAGTGGTGGGTGAGGAACAGGGACAGAGAGGGCTCAGCCATGGCCACGGGGGTCAGGCAGAAGTCGCAGCCATGGTCTCCCCACAAGGATCCAGGGTTGTTGCTGATGGACCATGCAGCACCCCTTCCTCATGACCCAAGGGTGGGACCCCACGGAGAGGAAGCAGAGGCCTGTCAAGATGGGTAGTTACAGTGATCCCCAAGACCCACTTACTGGGTTTCCCATGCCCCCCTAAACCCTTCCTGAGAGCACATAGGGCCTTGGGGTCTAGGACTCCCCTGAGGCCCAGCTCCTCCGTCTCCCTGTCCCCTCAGCCTCCCACCCTGTGTCTGAGGCATGGGGTGAATGCCCAGCTTTCCTGGGGACAGTGGAGAAAGAAGCCGGGCACGGCCCCGCTCCAAGGAGCACGCATACTGGAAGGGGCGGCAGGGGGTGCGGAGAACTGCAGTGGGTCCTGAGGTTGGGGTGTGTGGGGGGTGCTCCACTCTGCCCACGGTGCCGCCAGCCCATCCACAGAGAGGGGGAGGCAGGGCTGCAGAGTTCGTGGTGCCGGCTGTCACCACACGCATTTATGGGATGCCACGCCATGTGGCCCAGCAACGTCCCTGAGCCCACCTCCTGCCCGAGTCCTTGCTGCCCGGAGCATGGATGCCCGCCCAGCCCAGCATCCCACAGTCAGGAGCCCTGACCAGCAAGTCCACGCCTGGGGCTGAACACAGACAACCCGGGGCTTCTGAGAGCCCTGGTGTACGCGTGACTGTGTGTGAGAGACAGACAGACCGACAGCCTCTGGGAGCAGGTAACCTGGCGGCTACGTGCGATTGCATTTGCAAGCCTGGGAGTGTCTGGCACACCCTGCGTGGTGTCTTGGGCTTGTCGAAACAGGCACAGTGAGCGTGGAGTGGCGTGTCTAAGCGCGTCTGGCTGAGTTGGATCTGTGTCGGTCCTGCGGCATCGGGTCTGCGAGGGCAGGCTCCGGGCTTGTGGCTGGTCTCCCTGCGCACGAGGGAGCAGCCCCGCCACCGGAGCATCTGAGTGGGTGCAGCCCTAGGGCGCCGGCTCTCAGCAGGGCGGGCAGAGTGGCCGAGCCTATCATCTGGGCACATACTCCCTGGGCAGCCCGGCCCAGTTGTGGTCACGCAGGGCCTTGTCCACTGTCCGGATATAGCCATTGATCAAGTCCTTCATTTCCGGGGTGAAGGGCTCGGGCTCAGGGGGGCGCCGGCCGTGCCGCCGGAAGCTGCCCTCCTTGTTGTTCTCCACGCACAGCAGCCGCTCCTCGCTCACGGACACGTTGAGGAAGGCCACCATCTCCCGCAGCGTGGGCACCAGGCTGCGCCGCAGCTCCTCGTAGTGCACCACCAGCAGCCGCTTGCCGTACTTGAGCCAGTCCAGGACGTGCGAGGACCACCACGAGGCATAGCTGTGGACGAATTCCGGCCACTCTGGGGAGGACAGAGGGTGCGTGTCAGGGTCCGGCCTGGGAGGGCTGCTGGCCCCTCTGGATGCCCAGGGAAGCCGCCGGGATGTTCCATCACCCACTGCCCGGGGCCCACCTGCCCGAATCCCCAGCGGAGAAAGACCTTCCTGGTGACTTCCTGTTAAGGTTAATATCAGGCTGGGCTCTGAAGAGTCCTAAGCTGGGAAGACATGACCTTGAGTCCCCCTGGCCCCCAGCAAACACATCAAGATAAAACACATGTGAACTGCATGTACCAAGAACTGGTTCTCTCTTGTGTGCTATGAATTCTTTGGCCTTAGGGACTGAGCCTGGCCTGGGCTGCAGTGCAGGACACGGCAGTATTAAAGCAGGTGGGAAACTGAGGCAGGGCATCTCTTCTGGGATGCCCGCCGCTCACCTTGATCTTGTCTCTGACCACTGCACATCTGATATGGGTGACAGGGACTGAGCGGCGTGTGTGGGGCAGCTGCCGGGCCTCCTGACGAGAGGAAGATGCTGCTCGGGCCAGGCGTCCCTCCTCGCCCCGCCTGTGAATCTAAGTGAGCGTGCTGTCCGGCCCACGCGCTGTCTGGTGGGTGTGCGACCAGTCAGACGCGTGGCCCAGTGGGGCGGGAGGACGTACAATGGAACCATGGACGGGGGCAACCGCAAACTTGTGCAGATGACCTACGGCATGAGATTTCTTTTCTAGCAAATTAAGAAATTCGGTGTTTCGTTAGGGGTGGGCATTCCAATATTAAAAATCACCCCCAAGGAATGTAGTTTCTGTAACTGAGCTGTGGGAAGCTTTGTTTTCTCTCGTCTTCAACATGACCCTGAGATGGAGACCACCTTGTTTTTCCGATGGGGAAACTGAGGCTCAGAAGGAATGCAGCTTGCCCGGGTACCTGGGCTGGTACGGGGCCCAGGAGGGATCAGAGCTTAGCCGCCTCGATCGTGAAGGGGAGTCAGCAAGGGGCGTAGGGATGGCTGGGGGCTGGCCTAGGTGAAGGGTGTTGGGGGAGGAGGACACAGGCCAGCCTCAACTGATCCACAGCCTGCCTGGCCTACGGCTCTACATGTTATCACGCCACCCTCCCTGCTGAACACAGCTTTATTTCTATTGCTCGCCTCCTGACCGGTACCTCTGCAATTCATTGCCTAAAGGCTGACTGTGCCTGCCTTGAGGGCAGAGACCTCGGCCCCTTTCCCTGGGCCGCCGGCACACAGCAGGACTTCAGTGAGTGTGTGTCACAGCCTGACTGTGATCGAGCTGCAGTGAGCCCCTTCCGTACCTTTGCTCTTCCAGTTGCGGTCAGCTGCGTAGCCCAAGTGCCCGGCACACTTCCTGTTGAATTCGGCCACCAGGGACCTGTACGGGTTCCGGATCAGCAGGATGGCCGAGTCGAACATCTCGATCTCCCTCCTGCCACTCTCGTGGGTCTTCACACAGATGGTGCGCCGGCTCCGCCAGTGGTCCTTCTCGCCCTTAAACCCTGCCCGGGAGAAAGGAGAGGGCTGCTTTGGGGGAAGGCATGGTGGGCACCCCACCGCCAGGGCAGCAGACAAATCCGAGTGCTGACCTGCATCCCTGAGGGCAAGCTGACAGCAGGGGCATAAGGGAGGCCTGTGGATGGCAGGGCGGAGGGCACTGGGCGGGCCCAGGGAAGGTTGACGGGGGCGGCCTCCACAGGCCTGACCCGGCCCGAGGCAGCAGGAGATGGCTAAGAGCTGGGAAGATGGCATCTGCTGGACAAAGGAGATAAGGCACCTCCTGCTGATCCCCAGGAGTCAGGAGTCGGAGGGCCTGACCAGGCCCCGTCTGTAGACACTGGCGATGCATACCTTTGGGTGGTTTCTTGGCAATTTCACATGAACATCTGAAATACCCCTCTGAGTCAACCCCTCTGCAGGCATAACTGGATGAGAAGACTGAGGTTCAGAGTGGGTGTGTGACTTGCGCAAGATCACACAGCACCATGGCAACAGAGCCAGGGCTCTCTCCACATGGCTGTGTATGTTCCTGAGAGGCCCCCCAACTTCTACCCACCTCCCCACAGTGGGAGCAGGATCCCCATCATTACGCTCAAGGGCTATAAGCACTGTTGCCTCTCCCTTGGACCTTACACCACAGTCCTGAACTAGGGCCCCAGCCTGGCATCTATGAAGATTCTCTACCTGGGACCCCAGAGCAGGTCTGGCCAAGGTCTCATCCAGTGTCTGAGCTTGGCCCTGCTGGGCTGGGGGCCTGCCTTCTTCCTGGGTCCTCTGGGCCAGTCCTGGGCGCTCGCGCCCAAATGAGTTCTGGCAGAAGGTCAGACTCTGCCCACCCATACGCAGAGTCGCATATTTACCCACGACTGCTGTGTGCTCACACTGTGTTGGATTCTCTGCCGGGGATCAAGACTCAGACCTCGTCTAACAGAAAAACAGCCCAGGTCTACCACAGAGCCTAAGGGCTCATGGGAACAAAGACTAGCGGGGACCAGTGAGAGGGTGTAGCGGGATGTCATAGAAGGCTTCCAGGAAAGAAGTCCCTTGAATCGTGTCTCCTGACCACATCCCCGCGTAGCTGTGCCAGCCAGCCCTGGGGACACGCTCCGTAAACGTGCACGAGCTCTCCGGAACACAAATAAGCCCCGCCCCTTTCGCCAGTGGCTGGGAAGCACCTATATCTACAGACACCTGGAAATTGGCAAGTCTCTGTTGAATCTGGACGTCTGGGTTCACCTACTGGAGCTCAACATGTTCCAAGCTCATCTCTGCCATGGGCCAAACACCAGACAGAAGTCCTTGCTCTGATTCATTCTGTCAAACGGGCGTTTCCTGGTAAGGAGGGGTCCAGCCATGGGCTGTGTGGACACGTAATCTGGTCTCCGACACCTGAGACCCAGGGACGCTCGGCCTATGTCAACAGCGGCCACTTTCCTTGTGACTCCAACCACACTCACCCAAGACAGGGTTGGCATTTCGGCATTGGGGCTGTCTTGCGAATTTCGCATGTGTGTGTGTCCCTCATTGCTCCAAAGGTGCTCTGAGGCCAAGGCCACATCAAACTGGTCCTGGAAGGCTCGAAGATGCTCTGGTACCTCTAAAGCCATGTTGAGGCAGCATCACCCAACCCTTTCAGGGGCCTTTCGAACCACTGGGCCACTTAGCCATTTATGGACCAAAGCAGCCATCTGCGTGAGAGAGGTGAAGGCCTTCTAGGGGAACGGGGTGGGTGACTACAGCCTGTGCACCCTGGGTGGGCCCAGGGGACTAGGCTAGAGTGGGCGGGACCACATGCTTCTCCCTTCACCTGTGGTGCCCATCACACCAAGGCTCCCGAGGACCGCGGGGCTGGGTTCTGCGAAAGTCTTGGCTGTTTCCCAAACCAGACCAGACTGCTGTGGGCGACTCCAGAACCCACTGCCAAGTCCAGGACGTTTCTGTTTTCCCTAGGATGTTACGAGAGTACCTTCCTTGCCTAAACCAACCTCTAATTAAGAAACTCTGTGGTTGTAACACTTGACAACAGAGAAATGTATTTCACCAAATTTAGAGGCCACTTGACTTATCTGAGGCCCTTGGTTCGTAAATAGCACACAGACTCGAGACATTTAAGTTCACTTACTTGGCCTCATGAAGCCTCTTATTTCTACGAGAATAGAAATCATAGCTCTTAAAGATTTTTGGACCTATTTTTTAAAAATAGCAGTTTGAGCCTGGCTTGCGTGGCTCAGTTGGTTGAGAGTTATCCTGTGCACTGAAAAGGTTGTCAGTTTGATCCCCGGTCAGGGCATATGCCCAGGTTGGTTTGATCCCTGGTTGGGGCACATGCCAAAGGCAACAGATCGATGTTTCTCTCTCTTTTCCTTTTCTCTCTCTAAGCACAACCTCAGGTGAGAATTATGCCCCCCCCCCATTTTGATAAGCTACCTATAAAGAAAAAAAAGAAAGAACAAAGATAGTCTCACTTAATTATTGAGGGTTCTGAAAAGTAAGGATAGTCCAAAACATGTTTCTGGAGAGGGAATCCGAGCTCCTAGACTTTCCCTTTGAGTCCGACTAGCTCTCGTAAATGTCCACTGGACGTGTGGTCTGAGACTCAGATGCGTCGTCGCCTGGGAGATGTCAGCGATGGCACTGCCCAGTCTCCACTTCACCCCGCTGAACTGGATCGGAGAGTCTGGCCCAGGAACCTGTGGAACTAACTGCACAGCCCTCGGGGGTTCTGAGACCCACTCGTGGGAGGAGGGCTGCTCCTTGCTCCGCGGAGACCGCCCGGCCACCCTCTCGGCCTGCTGGTTACGCCTGTGACACCTTGAGAGCTCACTGCCCTGTGGGCGCCTCTGTCCCAGGTCTCCCTCGGACCCCAGCCCTCGCTCACCTTTGCTGTAGAGAGCTCCATCGAAGTAGTAGCTCCCTGTGTAGAAGCCGGTGGCGTGCTCGATGAGGTGCCGTGCCCAGGTGTTCCCGGCTCCCGGGAAGCTGGACAGAGCCACGAACACTTTGGACTTGGTGGGCAGGAACCTCCTGTCTGTGCACCGGGTGTCTGAAAGCCGGACGTCTCGGGGTCACTCACCCTCGTGGTGACTCAGACTCGCTGCCCAGCTCCCCTGGACAGAACTGCTGATCCGACATCCCTACTTAACAGGAGGGTGAACTGAGGCCCCAAAAGGGAGAGGGGTTCACCGCCGGCACGTGGCTGGCCAGAGAAAGCCCCAGTGACAAGGCCCCCAAAGCTCACTCAAGCGTGGGGTGAAAACTGGCACCCTGCGGACCCTCAGCCCGTGCTGTCTCCATGGCCACAGCTAAACCTTGGCTCCCCACACAGCACAGATAACTGCAGGGGAGGTGGCTGGGGTCACGGCTGGGTTGACCAATGACACATATTCTGGTGCCAACAACAGACCTGCTGGACCAATTTCAGGCCAATAATCTCTCTGAGCCTCCTCTTCCTATCCCCCCTCCCCCCGCAGGGCTGCAAGAAATCATCAGGCAGTTGCCCGGGAGAGGTGGCAACATCCCTTCCCCTCTGCTCTGCCTCCACCAGCTCCTAAGGCACCCAGGGCAGACTGGATGCTCACTCGTCACCGCCCGGGAAACTCACGGGTCCCCAGGTCCTGAGCTCCCAAGCCACCCAACGCCGCCCCTTTGCCATTGCCATCCCTCGGGCCCTGCTTCTCTGCTCTTCCTCAAACCACCTCATCCCCAGAGAGATTCAGATAACGGTCAGGAGCTCTTCAAACTGAGCCCTGTGTCCTGTGTCCAGCCTCCAGGGATGGCGAAGGCCTCCTCCAACCCATTATCCCAAGATGAGACCACCCATGGAGATACCAGGGTTTTTACACAGACACCCTTCCTGCCCCATGACTGCACATCCAGCCATAGCCAACATTTCAAACCCCCAGACCAAATGCCACACCAGAGGCAGGCCCAGGGGGGAGGGCTCTTTCCACCTTGTCCGCCTCTGGGGGAGCTCACCTTGCACGGGGGTCTGGTAGACCGCGCAGTACTCTGCCAGCCTCTGTGCCTCAGGCTCCTGGCCACACAGTGTGCCGTCCACAGCATCCTGCAGGTTGAACTGGGGGGTGGGGTAAGCACAGTAGCACTCCCAGCCTCTGAGGATGGCCAAGGGGAACTCCTGCCAGACAAGGAGAGGAAGAGAAGCGTCTCCGGTGAATGCAGGGGCCATGCCTCCTGCAGCTCAGGTGCGGGGATGAACACACGGACCTACTGCCGGCTACAGGGGATCCACAGGGATGTCTGTCCGTCCTTCCAGCATCGGGCTCTGTGCCCAAGCCCAGGAAGACCAACTCCATGAGCTGTGACTTCTGCCCTCCAGTAGCTCACAGCTGGCTGATGACAAGAGAACAGTCACAGCGCGGCAGGAGTGGGTGCTGCGGCAGAGAGGCGAGCCAGCTGTGCAAGGGGGAGGCAGGGCCTGGGAGTGGACTTTCAGGATGTCCAGGGGGCAGTCAGGAATGCCGCGGTGGGAGCAGGCGCTCCGGACAGTGGATTCATGGGGGAAAATGAGTGTGGGGGTCAGGATGGGACAGATAAACCTACACAAAGCAGTCAGGGCTCAAGGGTTACGGAGCCCTGAGTGGCATCTGGAATTCCCGCTAGCTCTCCTTGGAAAGAGACCCAACCCAACCCTCATGCCTGAAGTCCACTGCAGAGTGGGGTTCAGGACCAAGGAGAGGTCCCCACATGCCCATCTCTCCAAGATGGGAGAGGTGAGCCAGAGTAGACTTGGATCCACCAAGGTACTGAGCCCCAGGGGGCTTCCTGAGAACTTGTGGGGGGGTGAGGGAAGGGGGCCCGCCAGGGTTCAGCTCCTGGCAGTCTCTCACGTGGTTTCTCTCCCCCAAGGAGGCTGCAGCGTACGATGGAGCGCGGCAGCGCTGGCATCCGGACCTGGATGTGAGTTTGGTTCACAGGCTGGTTAACATGTCTGAATTTCACCGCTGAACACAAGTAATAAAATCCACCTTGCACGCTTATTATGAGGACGAGAGGAGACGGTCCTAGCTGCCCAGCCCTGGGCCCAGAACATTCTCCGAGCTCTCACAGAGGAGCGGGTCATCCTGTCTCCTTACCCTGCAGGCATCGGCCATGGCTCACTCAGAAACTCCTCACCCGCCTCTCACGGTGGTGGAGCCCCTACTAGGTGTCAGCACTAGACAGGACACGTGGCCCGTTTCATCTCTGCACCCCTGCACCTTGCAGGCGAGCCTCCCGGAGTGTGCAGAGGAGTCTCGGTGCAGGAGGGAGGTGTGGGCGGAGAAAACCTCTCCCCGCCAAGGGAAGCGCTGCACAAACCTCCTTGTTTTTGCCCTCAGCAAAATCTCATAAATAAATACATAAAAGACAGTCAGTCGCGTTCTCTGAGCTCAGCTGGGCAAAGCCAGGATCTCAGAGAAGACAACAGAGGTGGTGTCCCAGCCAAAGGAGGGCGATGCAGAGCCTGGAGGAGGGGAGGGACTTTGGGGAGGACTGGAGGAGACGCTGCTGGACGCCGCCCCACGCAGGCTGTTCTTACAGGCGCAGGCTGAACTGTCTCCTAGATGCCCAGTGGCCCTCCTGCAGGCCTCTCCCTGCATCCACCATCCTCCTTCAAGGCCGAGGGTCAGCTCTGCCAGGACTTTCACCAGGGCCCAGGCCCACGTCTGTCTCTCACAGCTGAGCGCCATGTAGGGACGGGGGAAGGACGCTTCACTATCCTCACACTACACACACCTACCCCCCACACCTACCCCCTCCACACACACCTACCCCCTCCACACACACCTACCCCTCACACCTACTCCCGCCAAACACACCTACCCCCCACACCTACCCCTGCCACACACACCTACCCCCTCACACCTACCCCCTCCACACACACCTACCCCCCCACACACCTACCCCTCCACACACACCTACCCCCTCCACACACACCTACCCCCTCCACACACACCTACCCCCCACACACACCTAACCCCTCCACACACACCTACCCCTCACACCTACTCCCGCCAAACACACCTACCCCCCACACCTCCCCCTGCCACACACACCTACCCCCTCACACCTACTCACACACACACCTACCCCCCCACACAACCGACCACCTCCACCCACACACTACCCCCTCCCCACCACAACCTACCTCCTCCTCACACCACCTACCACCCACACACCACACCTACCCCCTCCACACACACCTACCCCCTCCACACACACCTACCCCCTCCACACACACCTACCCCCCACAACTACCCCTCCACACACACCTACCCCCTCCACACACACCTACCCCCTCCACACACACCTACCCCCCCACACCTACCCCCTCCACACACACCTGCCCCCCCACACCTACCCCCTCCACACACACCTACCCCCTCCACACACACCTACCCCCTCCACACACACCTACCCCCCACACACACCTACCCCCTCCACACACACCTACCCCCCACACACACCTACCCCTCCACACACACCTACCCCCTCCACACACACCTACCCCCCACACCTACCCCCTCCACACACACCAACCCCCCCACACACCCCCCCCCCACACCACCTACCCACCCCCCACACCTACCCCCTACACACACCTACCCCCCACACCTACCCCTCCACACACACCTACTCACACACACACCTACCCCCCCACACCTACCCCCCACACACACCTACCCCCTCCACACACACCTACCCCCTCCACACACACCTACCCCCTCCACACACACCTACCCCCCACACCTACCCCCTCCACACACACCTACCCCCCACACCTACCCCCTCCACACACACCTACCCACCCCCCACACCTACCCCCTCCACACACACCTACCCCCTCCACACACACCTACCCCTCCACACACACCTACCCACCCCCCCACCTACCCCCTCCACACACACCTACCCCCTCCACACACACCTACCCCCTCCACACACACCTACCCACTTACACACACACCTACCCCCTCCACACAGACCTACCCCCACACACACACCTACCCACCCACACATACACCTACACACACACCTACCCACCTACACACACACACACACACACACACACACGATCTTGCTGTACTCTCTGCTTCTAGAGCTCAGCGCTCCCTTTTGCATTGGAAACATCTTGCACAAACATTCTATGGGATTCCACAAACAAGTGGAGGCCCCTTTGGGGCCTTAGTTTCTCCATCTGTCAAATGGACATATTCCACGAATCAGCTCGCCCCAAGAGCTGGAGGCTCACGTCTCTCTCACCAGCTTCCCCTGGCCCACCCCGAGGGCAGTGTGACGAGGAGGCTATCCCCAAGCCTTTCCTGGGAGGGGCTTGCAACGGGGGTGGGGGGTGGGGGTGGGCCGCTGCTCTGGGTATCCAGGGACTTCTATCCAAAACACCCAGACTCGAGTTCCAGCGCCATGATCCAGTATCCGTGTGGCCTTGGGCAAGTACCTGCCCCCTGTGCACCTGGATTTTCCCATCTGGACCGTGGGGGAATAGCAGCCACCACACAGAGAGCTGGAGAATGAAGGGAGGACGATGCCTGACAAGGACCCAGCCCGTGCCCAGCACATAGTAAGTGCCACCCGATCTTTATCCCTGAAGGCCTTTAATTGTACCAGAGGTGGGCCCCAGACCACCTGCCACACTTTGGCTCCCCCTCCAAGGCCCCCGAAGCTAAGCATCAAGCCAAGGCCAGAAGCCCCTCATTGGCACGGTGGCCCTTCAGTCTTGACCAGGCATGGGCAGAAAAGGATTGCTCTGAAGACTCGGCGGCCACAGTGAGGCCCTAACTATGGATCCAGCCACACCCCATTCTCAGCTGTCCCCAATGTCCGCTGCAGTGACACTGAGCGCCGGCAGCCAGGGCCACTGTCACGGTGCAGAGCCGAGATGACTGGACCAAGGTTGAAAACCCTATCGGCATGTCCAGCTAGACTACCCACCCGGGGCCCCCAGGCCACTTCTGCACAGAAAGCGAAATCTGTGTCCCGACCCTCCATCAGAACACCACTGGCTTTCTGGAAGCAAGTTCTGCTGACGCGAGTTAGTGCAAAGCCATCACAGGAACTGTAGCCTCCGGCCTCCACCATCACCACCCACCCTCCCCACAAAGCCCGCAGCCCACCTCCTCCAGGTCACACCTCCCACAGCAAGAGGAACAATGCGGCGAGCATGTGGCCACCTGGCTGTCCCCTGTCTGTGCACACCGGCTGTTTGGGGCTGAATTGTGTCCCTTAAATTTTACACGTTGCAATTCTAACCCTCATACCTCAGAATGTGACTGCATTTGGAGAAAGGGTCTTTTTTTTATTCTTTAAATCCTCACCTGAGGATATTTTTCCATTTATCTTAAGTCAGAGTGGGAGAGAGGGAGAGAGACACATCAATTGGTTGCCTCCCACACGACCCCGGCCAGGGCCAGGGACCGAAACGCAACCGAGGTGCGTGCCCTTGACCAGACTCAAATCCGTGACTCTTTGGTCCGAGGACCGATGCTCCAACCCCTGAGCCAAACCATCCAGGGCAGTAGATGGCGTCTTTAAAGAGGTAATGACATTTACACGGAGCCATGAGGGTAGTAGGCCCTAATCCAATCTGAGTGATGTAGTTATTAGAAGAAGAGATTAGAACGCAAACACACACAGCCCAAGGGACGGCCATGTGAAGACAAAGGGACAAGGTACCAGGTGCAAGCCCAGAACCAGCCCTGCCAACACCTTGATCTCAGACTTCTGGCTTCCAGAACTGTAAGGAAATACACTTCTGTTGTTTAATCCCCCCATCAATCTGTAGTATTTTATTACCGTGGCCCCAATAAACTAACACACTAGCTTTCTTACCTGTCCTTGGCCACTGCAGTCACACACCCACCCCAGGGCCTTTGCACTTGCTGCTCTCTCTGCCTAGGATGTTCTCCCCCCAGACACCCTCATGGCTTTCTCCCTTACTTTCTTCAACTCGCCTTCTCCGTGAAGCCTTCCCTGGTTATTCCATTTCAAGTTGCAATACTCCCACCACCACCGACACGGCCTCTTCCCTTGCTGGGCTTTCTCAGTTTGTTTCATTGAGGTGTACTAGTGATGAAATGCTCTGACCCCCAGTGCACTGGTCAGCCAGTCCTGATGAATGCA